CCGCCTTCTTGATATATCCTTCCACTTAATCTTGAGGTTCTCCAGAGTTCAGAGTTGAATGTACTTTTGATTTTTTAATATCCTCCCCAGAGTGCTATTTTATAAGGCAGCCAGAATACCTTGTACTCTGGTGAACCAGGAATACCTAGGAACATTTTAGTCTACCAGTTGGACCTGAACTTCATGACAGATTTCTTTTCTAGTAAATTCAAACAAAGGCTAGAACTTAACATAGCTACACCAGCTCATATATTTCAACTTGCACATTTAGTTGGAAACCAAGTCACCGACTTCCACCTCACCTGGTGCATCTGAAGGCACTCTGAATGCTGTAAATGCAGATTTCTATTGCATTTTTATTGCACATTCTATTGCATATTTCTAAGCATTAATTGCTTGCTGGGTGGTTTCTCATGAGTCCAGTATTTACCACTTTTCCTACCCATATTTTTTTAAGAGATTTGTTTAGAAACACTAGGTTTCCTTGCCAAGATTTGACCATATAGTGCCATATGTCTGATGCCAAAAATCATGGCTTCCTCATTTGGAGATTGAAACAATACATATCATAAACCAAAAAGGTACAAAATCCACTAGCAGGTTAACAAGTTAAGCAAACCTTTTCTTACTTAACGAGGGAAGATAACCTTTTTATTTGGAATCTGTCTCTCTCAGCCAATCAAAGCTGAAAGGTACTTCAAATAGGATTTGCCCAACCAAGTTCTTACTTGTGTCCTTGTTGGTGGTTCATCATATGGACTGGTTTTAGGACTTGGAAGCAATACTCCAAGCGTCAGAAAACATGAACATTCTATTGCTGTGAGAGCTTTCCAGTACTACTACTATTTGGGGAAAAAATATTTCCTTGTAGTGGTTTAACAAGGTGAGAAGCCAAAAAAAATCAAAAAGAAAAAAGTAAACTAAACTATTACTTATGGCAAAGGACAATTAGCATCTCAAAGTGTTTTTCCTCCTCTCGATGTAAACTGAAGGATGATGGAAAGGGAGCAACATTTGCTTCCTGCTCTGGCATGTATAAGGACAAGAGACATTTTTGGCCATGCATCAAAATCTATTTTGCACTAAGGGGACATGTCTACACATGCAATTAATGTGCTTGAATTTTCTGCACAGAAAATTCAAGTTCACTAAAGTGCTTCCCGGGCATGCAACTGAATGTGTGCCCTTCAAGAACAAATTTGCTTCCAATGAGAGCAGTTCAGTCCAGGGCTGCTCCTGCCCTGCTCTTCCCTCCTGCAGCAGCCAAGGGGAGCTCCAGGCTCCCCCAGGTGCCAGCCCCAGGCTGGAAGGGGGCACAGGGACCCGTTCCGATTTCCATGCTGCAGAAAGAACTGTCCTGGCTGCAGGACCGCTGCCTCCCAACCACACAGCAATCGGGACCTGTCCCAATCTCCACGGGGTGGGTAGAGCTGTCCAGGCTCTGGGGGCAGCTGCCTCCCAGCCACATGGAGATTAGGATCCACCCTATCTCCACACGGCAGGGAGAGTTGTCCCAGCTGCAGGGCAGCTGTCTCCCAGATGCTTACAGTTGGCCCCGATCACCATGCAACTAGGAAACAGCTGCCCTGCAGCTGGGAGAGCTCTCCCTGCCCCACAGAGATCAGGATGGGTCTCCAAATCCATGCGACTGAGACGCAGCTGCCCTGAAGCCAGGACAGCTCCCCTAGGCCCACAGAGATTGGGGTTTAACCAGGTAGCAGTGGCCTCTGCTGCCTGGGCTGACTAGGAGCAAACTGCTCCCAGTCAGGGTCTACATGTGTGCTCTTGTGCATTAGTTAATGCACTGTTTTTCTAATACTTGTGTGTATTGGTACTAGCAAATGGCACATTAGACTAATTTAATGCACAGTAATTGCTGCACACATGTAAATAGTGATGATTTACTGCACATTAGATTAGTCTAATGTGTAGTAAGGCAGCTCATGTTGATGCACCCAGTCAGAGTTAAACTTCACTGACTCAGTAGAATTTTAGGAATGTGGTGCACAATGCACCAATGGAAGATGTAACTTAATAACAGTGCAGGATGTATAATAAAATGCATCTTCCTGTACCTTAACAAGTCTGTTCTGAGGATGCCCTTGAATGTACTTGCTTTGATTTAGCGTCTATTCTTTGTGAGAGTAAGAGAAAATGTGTTGAAAACTTATTTTACATATTATTGGGTAAAACATTCACAAAAATATCTAAAGGAAGGATGAGCGGCAGTAATTCATAAAACCCTACAAAGAACATTCTTGTGCAACTGAAAGTTTCCTTAATACTAAACCAAATATATTTAACAACAGATTTAGGAAGCAAAGTACGTCATCTGCATGTAATTTCTCAATACGCAAAGAGCAATGGAATATGTTAAAGGTTTAGTGCAATCTTGTACAAAAATTTGAGCACCCTCTTGCCAGATTAAACCAGAACAAAATGTGCTATGTAGCATGTACAACATGAATCCATATGTAATTCCACTGGGTTAGAACAGAGTACAATGTGTTCCCATTAATACTTACTTGTCTCCCATTTCAAGCTGTAAGCTTGCCTTTTCAGATAGCAAATACTTTTGAATATTTAAGCAACAGCTAGTTCTATTTTACCAAGATTACTTACTAACAAAGGAATGAATGATCCAGATTAAACTGGCTCACTGCTTGAAAAATACCAAACACAAAAGCCAAAGAAAACCCCTTTGAAACATTCCTATGTTTGGAGGATGTAAGGAAACTAATCTTGGATCATGATGTTGATGATGCTATATAAAAATATTACCCATCCATTTAATTAAATGTGAGACTTAATTGGACTGCAGGTTCTGAACAGCCCTGGAGGGAAGAGGGAGAACACAGCCTAAAGACAGATGTCCTGGTACAGCTGATCTGATCAATCAGCAAAAAAGAGAGCACACATGTGCAAACACAGAGGGAGGAAACTTTGTGAGGGTTCCCTGTTCCACACTTGCAGATCGCACCTCACAACATACACGTTCCAAGCTTCCCCCTGCAAGGTGATTCCTGTGGTGTGCAAAATCAGATACCTGGGGGTGCCTGCTAATGGGGTCCTGCCAGGGTTCCCCTGTTTGTAGACATGTGCCCCAAGTTGGGGCATGGAGGCATGCAGAGGATTCCTAAAGCACACCTCAGCAAGAAGGGGAACCCAAGTAGATGCTCCTGGAGCTTCAGGAGCCCACCCCAGGAATTCCTCAGCAGAAGAATTCCCAGGGCACACAGGATTCGGCCCTTGAAGCCCCAGAAGTGCTTGCCTGGGAGGGCTGGAGAGTGCAAACAGCTCCAGGCTTCCCATACTCTCCTGTCATAAAGCAAACAGAAAATAGCAGCACCAATTAATACCATCTATTGTCACAGCCACAGTTTGGGCATGTGTGGCACAACAAGAAACAAGGATGTCTGTTTGCTTGGGCTCTGTGCTCCCATAAAAAAAGTTTTGGTGGCACAAGGTGATGTGTGATTCCATAATGGGAAACACAAGGAAGCATTTCTACCTCTTCTACCTCTTGCACACAAATCAGAGGGAGGTAAAAGCTGATTTTTCCCTTTTCATCTTCCCCATTAGTTTAAAATTCTGCATAGGTCTTTAGGAGCCTCTCATACCCTTTAGCTGCTCTACCCTCCATCTTTAACAATGGTTGTAGGATTTTGAGAAGTGGGGTGCAGATGGTATGGTGCATCACCACACAGAACACAGCACGCATTCTTCTCCTGACTGTGGTGCTGTTCCAAGTCATGCCAAGCCCATGTCCAGGCCATTTGGAGTCTGGAGACTGTCAAGACATCTGATGCCAGCCCAGCCTAGCAGTGCTCACAAAAGCTGGCTTGAAATTTTGAATGGAAGAGGAATCAAAGAAGGGTGGGACCCAGAGGTGCAGTAGGGCAGCTCCACATGTAATTTCTCAGTACATGAGGCACAGTGTTAATGATGTTGGTGCAGTCATCCACCTCTATGGAAGCAGCTATTTTTGGGGCCCCCACAAAGGAGGTGCCTGGGGCTGCTGCCCCAGGAGCCCCCACAGTTATATTACTGGTACAACCATACTCCCCTGAATCCACCTCTGTCCTTTCCTATAGCTGTACCACAGGAGCTGTGGAGTTTACTAATAAACATTTTCAGGGAGTCAAAAAAATTGTCTCTTGGGGTGACCTGGCATGAATGCTCCTTCCTGGAAGCATCATGGAGACACAGTTAGGTTAAGTAGGTACAAGATTTAGAAATTAATATTAGTGCCCTAAAGAAATGGCTCTCCATTGCCCCTTGTGGCTATTGTGGATAAATGGCCAAAGGGACAGTTTTCAGAACTAACAGAGCCCTGAAATCTCACTGCTGGACTATATTCTTTTGGGAGAAGGGGAACCCCAAACTCTTTACAGGCTAAGGACCCTTCTGTTGCTCTCTATACCAGTCACAGTGAACAGGGTTGGAAGAGTCAAAAGGCTGAGATGTAGGCACTCTTCAACCTATATTATGAATTACATGGCAGGTCTGTACCTCTTCTACCCTTGGTCTACTGAAATGCTAGGTATATTAAGGTAATATTGTGCCCTGCCACTTAATTCCATTCTCATGCCAACTTTCACTCACCTACTTGTCTTATTACAATTCACTTCTGTATTCATCCTTATTTTCTAAGCATTAAGAGTGAACACAAAATAAAATACAATTTAAGTTACTGAGCATTATGTAGATGCGAAGATGTGGACAGGGTAGATAACAGTAGCAAAAACATGGAAGATATATAAATTCATTCACAGAACACATTAATCTTAAACTAACTAATCTTTTTGACAAAGATCCTGCTTTTTTTAAGAAAACCAATAGAATTTATTTGTTTGCATTTTTTTCGGGTGTGTGTGTGTGGGGGGGGGGTGTGCGTGTGTGTGTTTTACATTCTAGGAAGCCAAAGTTACTTTTAGTATGACTAATTCAATTCCTGAGTATTGAACTTATCTTAAAAGCAGTCCTTTTCTTGAAAGCAGGCTCCATGATGTTTCTGAAAGAACTACCCATGTGGATCAGATCCAGAACACACAGAACATAATGGAAATATTGTCATTGACTGCAATAGGCTTTGGAAGAAACCTCTACACAGAACCATGTATTATCACCAGAATACATTCAGAGTCCGAGAAAAAAAATAAAACAATGAATAAATAAAAACACTGTTATGCTTAATTTATTGTTTTTGCCTCTAAACATCACTCCACTCAAAGGAAGCTGAAGCTGTTTTCACCAGAAGTGTATAGTTTTGTTTTTTGGATTTTTTTTACAATTAAAAGCAGCCTGTACCACAGCTGCATGTTAGTGTTCTGTGAATTATTGCTTTTCCAGGTGTTTAGTCCAGGGGACATCTTATCTCAGTACCTTTTCTATAGATGAATCAAAATCCTCCAGGGAAAAATCATGAATTACTCCACATATATTTCAACTGTATTCAAACAAATAATTTACCATATTTCAACATGCTTTCAGATTCTCACTATTCTTTTCCCTTTCCATAATTTAAAACCTAAAAGAAGCTACAAAGCCTGTCTCTGTTCTTGCCCTTTTTTGAGTAAGTCATTGAACAACATAATAATATTCCTTAAAATGGTTACTGCGATGAGCCCACCCTTCACAATAAAACTGTCAATCACTTGAAGGCAGCAAGCTCTGTTACCCAAGGGCAAGGAGTGCTCTTTTTTATTTTTCTAGAGATTGTTTCCCAAGAATCTCCTCTTTCTTACAAGAGATGTACTAGAAATGCCTATGAATGTAATTCAGATAGGTTTGATGTGGAGTTCAATAAGCTCCTGTAACACATTGTGTTATGAGTAATTTCCATAGCATGCCACAAACTTCCTAGGTTTACTTCAAATCGTTTGCTAAGCTTAACAGAGATTCTTTCATGTTGCATTCTTTACATTAATATATGTATTTCATGTTTAATGTAATGTTTCTCTGTAGCCTGAAGATAGCATTTCTGGTCCTTAATGCCAGAATAAAAGGTTTGTTACTCTTAAAACACCCTTCTTCATCCAGTATTACACTATTTCCTGCATTTTCATTCACTTTTAAAGAACTACCAGATAACTGACCCCTAAATAAAAATATAAATAATCTTTCAACAGTTTACGTGGTATGATATTTCATATTACAATATTTCTCAGCCTTAAAGTTAAAAAAAGTTCTTTTGGCTACTTCAAGAAAATGAACAGCATTTATTTAATCTCTCTTTATAGGAATAGATTATTTAAATGGTAATGTAAAGGAACAGCAAGAAACATACTACAGAAAAAGAACACCAATCTTGCCTCTACTATTGAATCTAGGTAGCCTTAGGGAAGTTGAGACATATTACAGGGGCAATGTAAGTACTGGAAGGTGGGGCGGGTGCATTAGAAGGTGGGCAACCTCCAAAACAAGCTCTCTCTGCTCCCTTCCTAACCCCGCCCCCCACTTCATTCTGAAAACAATGTGTACTGACACAAGTTAATAAAGGCTCCACTTTGGAGTGCCTTCATCTGAACTCTCAAGTAATGAGAGTTCAGATTGTCACAGGACTGGGCCCTTTTAAAGCACTCTGCAGCTCTGCCCTTCCATAAGGGCATAGCTGTAGAGTGCTTTCAGTGGCTGATCATGTGAAAAAAGTCACTTGTCACAACTCCATGCCACTGCCCCCACCTATGCCCCCATGAAAAAAAATGTCACTTGTGTCAGCGCCCTTAGGATAAGGACAGAAGTTACACATAAACCGGTATAAGTCATTGGAAACCGGTTCAAATCTGTAACACAACAGAAGCTGAGTGTACACACACCACTTTCAAAGTGGCTGAAACTGGTTTAAGATAAACCTGGATCAGACAAACCTGATTTAGGTTAAATTAGTTTATTGAACTTCTGTCCCAGATCCCCTCTAAATTCCAGTAATTCCCAGTTCTCCAGCATGCCAGGATGCTTTGGACCTCCCCTTTACACCCCGCCTTGCAGGTTGGGTAGGCTAGCCTTGGCCCAAGTTGTCTGCTCCAGCCAAGCAGGGAAGTGTGCTCTAGCACCCCCTTGGCTTCTGGCCTGGGCCACTGCAGGTATGTGGCTGCATTTTTAGAATCAAAAGTGAATGTCTGTTCACTTGCTTATCAGTTTAGTCTACTCAGCTTAGAATAACCCGCAAAGATTGAATCGATTTAGCCTCAGGCTTTTTTGATTGTTTGTATTTAGCCTTAGTGTTTGTATAGTTCTGTAAACTGTGAAGTGTCCTGTGTTATTAACATACAAATTAGTTTTCCCTATGAAATACTCATAAAGAATTAATGGAATTACTTATAGGCTTTCTGTAGCTTTATTGGAGATCTTTTTTTAATGCAAATTTATACTCTTGATACAGAATTCAAACAACCCACAGACAGGATCTGATCACTGTTTAATTTGATACTTTTTGGGATATCTTCTATAACAAGCTATTAAATATCTTGAGAACATTTTAAGTTTAACATTTACACTGAGGTTTAATATCTGTTACCACTCTTCCATAAATGATGTTTTAATAACTCTACAATAAAATGCTCTGATTTAGCTTCCTTTTAAAGATGCTATCATTCTGAGTCATCAAAAAGGTAACGGGTAAAATAATGGATTCATTTGTTACATGTGGAAATTCAAGCAATTTTTAATATCTCACTATTGTGCAAGTGTGACACAGCTCTATCATACTGACCTGATCATCAAAGCGGTAAGTGAGGAATTGTTCCCCTGTTGTATCTTCAAGAAAACTCCCTTGTGGAGAAAGTGCAAACTCAGGCAGGAAGTATGCACCTTGGGATTGTTCTGCTCTTGTCTGTAAGAGATTAAAAAAAGACATATTACAGCTAATGAAGGCAAAGTGTATGCACAATAATGGCAACTGCAACTATACTCATGAACAAATTACATGACATTTTTCTGCAGTTTTAGGGCTGGAATTTTGAACATTTGGCCAAGAGTATCTACAAGAAAATGTAACCTCTGTAGCTTCAAAGTCAGAGTTCTCTGTCTATACCAGGAAGAAAAATAAAAGTGAGGCCAGCAGCTTCATAATGCCTCTACCCAAGTTTTAATCTAACTGGTCAGGTACCAGCAATGAAGCCATAGAACCATTGCATTTGTTGCTTAATCCTCAGCCACACTATTTAAAGCTAGGTCAGATACAACTACACTAGAAGCAGCTATACCTCCAGCAATGAGTCAGGATGTAGCCTCAGACTGCTGAAAAGGCAATTAAAGAATGCCAGAATGAATTTTAATGTTACATGATTGTGGAATGGCATGGATATACTAAGCCAAAACAGTGCAGAAATTTGAACTGGAATGGCAAGATATCAAACCCTTTACACAGCTGATGAGCTTCTGACACACTTTGATGACACAGAATTAGATACCAGAAATGTTGATTGTACACCATTATTTGAGATTTTGTCAATGTGTTGACTTCAATAATCAGGCTCCAGATAGACTAAATGCAGATCCAGGACCCTTTCCTGGTGTAGCTACACATTCATCTGAAATGCTGTGGCATAGAGTTTTGTGAGGAGGCACCAGACTTCCACAAGTCAACCAAGCCAGGAGATGTACTGATTACTGGAAATTGGGAGCACTGATAATTACACATTAAAAATGTTATATTTGACACCTAAGTTATTCAGGGATGATGGGACAAACCTCTCTAATCAAGGAACAAATATACTTCTGGACAGTGTTACAGCTATGGTGAAAGGGGCAGGCAGCCAAGCTAACTGTTGGCACCTCTTTATGGCAGATGCCTAGTGAAAGTACTCATTCTATGGGAGACCTAGTTTCCTAATAAATCAGAATTACAAGTGGACTGAGGAGAAGACATCTCTTAAATGAAGCTGGGGAATGGGAAAAGTGGCTTTAATGGCTAGTAGAAAAACGAGACAAACCCTCTTTCCTAAGCCATTTAACCTTAATATGAGGGGAAGTCAACAGGATCCCAGCTCACTGCCAGGACCAGCTGTGGAAGGGTTAGAGGTTAATGATAACCCCCCATAAGGAGGAAGCAATTAAAGGAGGAATCATGGCCTGCGCCATCCGAGCTATTGCTGGATACTTCCAAACTAAAGGAATTTAACAACACTGTGGTTTAATTAAATTGCATATCTCATTTATTTTCTTTCCTGATTGATTGTCAGCTACTGTCCTGAAGTGGAAGCAGTAAATTTAAGATACATAACTTCAGTGAGCTATAGTTAAGGACCCAAGCTATTCTAATTGTCTACAAGACTTCAGAAGTATTGCATATAATTCAGGCACTAAACCCTCAGGAATCATAGAACAGGAGCCATGTCACTCTGCAAACAGCCTTCAGCTTGTACTACAGTAATGTAGTAGCATGTCATTTGCATGAAGTCTGGAAAAACAGCTTATATTGCTACTGCTTATCATGTCTTACAACATAGATATGTTTCAGTTTCATGGGCCACAAATCCCATCACCTATCAAAATTATTACATTATATTTAGTGTTTTGTATTAAACTAGGTTTGTATGAACTAGAAATTATTTGCAAAGTTCACATCTAGACTGGTTGTGCTTTAAATTATCTCAGTGAATAGGATTTTAAACAAAACTTTGCACCTTGTATACACAATGTCATGTTTTCACATGCACAATGGTGACATGTTGGGAGGACATGGGGAGGGGGGCATGTGCCCCCCCTCACCCCCCCCAGATTTCCATGCTGACAGTTGGATGTTGGGCATGGCGCTGTAGCCTGGCCAGAACCAGGGCCCATCAGCAGTAGGGGTAGTGACAGTGGCGCAATTTCCGCACCAATGGTGGGGTGTGGAGCTGCAGCCTGGCCAGACCCAATGCTCAGCAGCAGCGGGGGCAGGGGTGCAGCAGTAGCATGGAGTTGTGCCCCCCCACCCCACTGTCAGCATTTATGTGTCACCTATGCACATGTTGTGGCTAAGTCAGGACATCATTTAAATTCTATTATTAAAAAGGCAGCCACCAAGTCAGTCACATTTAGGTTTTTAAATCACAAAATGGGGAAAAATCTGTGTTTTACAACACTAGATTCCCCGTGTTACAATGAAGGAAAGTCTAGAATCCAACCTCATGCTGACTCCCACATGGTCACTGCTCTTATAACCTTTCATACATGACACATGACTCTAATATTAATGCAGTTGATGTCACTGAAACCAATAACTCACAATGGGCTATGGATTAGGCTCTATATGATAAAAGCCAGCACTGGTGGCTAAGAACTATATCATAAATACCCTTTTGTCCTGGGTTAAATGACATAGTATTACTACCTCAATTTCCCCAGGTATAAAATGTAGCTTACTAAATTTACTGACTTATTTCAGTGAAGGTTATATTTGTGAAATGCTTTGAAAAAGAATACTGCCTAAGTGTTAGTGATTTACGAGAACATTTTGGAAAGAGTTGCTGAGCTCAAGAACAGAATAGAATCCAAATTATTCCTCCACACTTCCCAGAAAAAGGTCTATAATCATGCTGTTGCTTAATTTCTCATAAACAAGTTGCCAGTAGGATATGCAGAGATTAGCTAGCTTGTGTTTCCCATCTTTATAAGGTAAATATTTAAAATAGAAAGCCTTCAGGCATTCATCAGTATTATGCTTTGAATATAAAAGATGCCAACATTTGAACCTGAAATAACAAGTGTGACATGAAAAACTAAAACGTTTTACACACACATTTATTTTAGTGTTAATATCTAATGAGCAGTTAGCTACTGGGTGAAACATGGACCTACTTGTTAGTTGAAGGCAAGCAAAAAATGGCCCCTAGCATGGAAAATTTCAGTCCAAGAGATTTTAGAAAGTTATATACAGGGACTTATAATATAAACTGGATTGTTTAGCAATAGTAGGTGCTGCTGACTACCAAAAAGAACTGAAGCAAGAAAGAGATACAGTCAAGAGTGATGATAAAAATAATAATGGTTAAGATACAGGAAGAGCATGGTGAAGGAGACTTGACAGTAGGAGTATATTATGAATCTCCGAACCAAATGGAGAAGCTTGATCTGAAATTCTCCAGAGAACTGGCAGAGGCACACACAGAATATAGTCATCATAGGTGACTCCAATTATCCAGACATCTCATGGGAAGAGCACTGAGGTAGATCTGAGTGGCCACATAGCTTCCTCACTCGCATTGAGGAACTCTATTTGACTCGAGAAGTATACAGGCCGACCAGAGGAAAGGCAACCTGGATTTGGCCAAAGGGGATGATCTAGTGAGTAATCTGGTGATTGAGGGTAATCTAGGCAATTGCAACCACGAGATGATCACTTTCACTATGGATTGTAAGGCAGGGAAATCAGTTAATAGGGTAGAAATCCTTGATTTTAGGAAAGCTGAATTCTACAAATTTAGGAGATTTGTGGATGAGGCCCTGCAGGACCATGGTCCAATGGGGAAGGGAGTGTAAGAAAAGTGGTCATTCCTCAAGGATACAATCCTTGGAACACAAAGGAGGTCCATTCCTGTTCATAAGGAAGGTAGCAGAAGGGCTGGGAGACCTCCCCTGGCTCACTGACCTCCTGAAAACAAGAGAAGCATATAAGAGATGGAAGCTGGGAATTACCCCCAAGAAAGAGTACATAGGAATGGCCCACAACTGTAGGGAGCAGATTAGAAAAGCCAAGGCAGAAATCCAATACAAACTGGCAACAGAAATCAAAGACAATAAAAAGTCATTCCTTAGATATATAGGGAGCAGGAAAAAAAAAAAAGGGAAACGTAGGACCCCTGCTGACCGCAATGGAACTCCTAAATGAATACTTTGCGTTGGTATTCCACCAGACCAAGGATATTAACTTGCCTAACAGAAAGAAGGATAGACAAGGTGAGAGTGATCACCCACCTATAATCAGTGAAGATCTTGTGGGGGAGTACCTAGAGAAGCTGGATATCTACAAGTCAGCAGGACTGGATGAACTACACCCAAGAGTGCTGAAAGAACTAGCTGACGTCATTGTACAACTGATGGCAAAGCTATTTGAGAATTTACGGCACTCGGGTGAAGTCACAGAAGACTGGAAGAGGGACAATGTGATGCTTATCTTCAAGAGATGAACAAAGGAGGACCTAGGGAATTACAGGCCATTCAATCTGAGCTCAATCCCTGGAAAAATGCTGGAAAACCAAGAGTGCTGAAAGAACTAGCTGACGTCATTGTACAACTGATGGCAAAGCTATTTGAGAATTTACGGCACTCGGGTGAAGTCACAGAAGACTGGAAGAGGGACAATGTGATGCTTATCTTCAAGAGATGAACAAAGGAGGACCTAGGGAATTACAGGCCATTCAATCTGAGCTCAATCCCTGGAAAAATGCTGGAAAATGTATCAAAGAATCCATCAGTGATAGGCTAACAGAAGGCAGTAATCTAAAAGACAGCCAACATGGCTTTGTTGCAGGCAGGTCATGCCTGACCAACCTCATCTCCTTCTATGATCAGGTAACTCACCCCCTGGATAAAGGAGATGAGGTAGATGTCATATACTTGGATTTCAAAAAGGCCTTTGACTTGGTCTCCCACAATGTCCTCATGGTTAACTTGAGAAAGTGTGGCCTCAACAACTTAATGGTCCAGTGGCTGGGAAACTGGCTGTGGCAGAGCACCTTTGGTG